CTTTTGGCAGCAGCTGTTTTGACAAACAGATGTTTGACAACAACATGACAACATTTTCCTGTTTCCTTAGTTTGTTAGAATGTACGGTCCTTGAAGGTGGAGATTCCCCCTTTATATCTGTATTTACAGCACCTTGCAAAGTGCTTAGCCCACAACAGGTGCTTAATACATGTTTGTTGATTGCATGATTGCCTGCTTGTGAAGCCAACCCGATTGTGAAGTTGTTTTATTTCCATATCTATAACAGGTTCTCATCTTCACTTACAGCAGCTGCTTAATTTTCCTCTTGGAATAAGTTCTTCAAAATAGAAACCTTTATTGGTCAGCTAATTTCAGCTGTAGCAAATCTGGGAGGAAAACCTTTGAGGAAAACTGTTAACAGACAAAATAAATGTTTGGAAGGGATCAGGTTAACGTCCAGCCATTTGCCACTGCGGTGTCCCTCATCCTCCCTCACCCCATATATCCAATCAGCTGTCAAGTCTCCACAAGCTCTTTTGCATCTGATTTATTACACAGCTACCACCTTCATTCAGGCCTTCATTACCTCTTGCCTAAATTGTTGGAATGATTTGTAGTGTGGTGGATAGAGTGCTGGCCTTGAAGTCAGGAAGATCTGAATTCTAATCCAACTTCAGACACTTATTAGCTGTGTGATCCTAGGCAAGTCATTTAACGTCTGCTTCGGTTTCCTTATCTGTAAAATGGGGATAATAATATCAACTACCTCTCAGGGCTGTTGTGAGGACCAAATAAGATGATAATTGGAAAACTCCTGGGACAGTGCCTGGTACACAGTAAGTACTATAAAAATGTTAGGTGTTGGATAGCATCATCATCATCATCAGCAGCAGCAGCAGCCTAATTGGTCACCCTGGTTCTAGTCTATCACCACTGCAGTCCATCTAGCACACTGCTGCTAAAGTAACTTTCCTTAAGCATGGATTAACCACGTGACTTTCCTACTCCACCAATTCCATCAGTTTCTTATTTCTTCTATGATCAAATATAAGCTCTCCATTTTTAAAGTCCTTTTAGGGGCATTTAGGTGGCACAGTGGATAGAGCACTGGCCCTGGAGTCAGGAGGACCTGAGTTCAAATTTGACCTCAGACACTTACTAGCTGTGTGACCCTGGGCAAGTCACTTAATCCTAATTGCTTCCCCCCAAAATAAAAACAAAGCCCTTTGTTACCTGGCCCTAACCTATCTCTCCAGTCTTATTGGACATGATTCTTCCTCAAGCACTTGGAAATCCAGTCACACTGGCCCTCTCTCACATGTTCTTATGTTCCTCACATGAGACATTCTATCTCCTGTCTTTGTGCTTCTGGTGACCCCACATGCCTGGAATGTACTCCTTCCTGGCCTCTGCCTCATAAGAGTCCCTTTCTTCCTTTTCAGATGTAGCTAAAGCAACATTTTTTACATGAGACCTCTCTTGATCACCTCATCTGTTAGAGCCCTCTCTCCCAAACTATTCTGTATTTGTCTGTTATATTCATTGACTTTATATTGAATATACATACACACATAAACACACATGCATTTGTCTTCTTCCTCATTAGAATGTAATCTCTTTGAGGGTGGGGATTTTTTTGCTTGTGTCCCCAGCAACTAGCACTATGCCTGGCATAAAGGAGGGCACTTAATAAATGTTTGCTGATTGACTGGGGACCATGGCTTTGTCTGCTTACCAATTTTTCTGTTTTCTACTGAAGTATGATATTTAAAGAGAAGGTGGATATTCAGAATGAGGTAACTGAGCTCAAGGCAACTCTCTTTTATGGTGTTGCCTCTATATTATTTCCCTTTTCAAAGGTAGCAAAGCTACTTGAGTCTATAGGGATCATCCCTTGCAACAGAGATATCAAACTTGCAGGGTGTAGCCCAAACTAGATTAAAATGAATTGGGAAATGTTTATCAAAATAAAGATACAACATAGATAATGTTAATTTGTGATTTTCTAAGTCAATTTGCAGCCTGCAGAGATCCATTTCTATTTGAATTTGATATCACTGTGAATGTGGGTAGATATTCTTGGTCTATTGTGTTCTGGAACTGGCTTCTGACTTTGACAGATAATTCATAATTCAGAAAGAGTTCATAATTTGAAGCAATGAAAAGCCCTCTAATTGGCTACTGAGCCATTAGAAGAGCTAATGACCCAGTGGACCATTTAAAAGGGAAGACAACTTCTGGCTGAACTCTCTTGGCTATGGCTTCCCCAGTGGCATAATATGAAGGGTGAGGAAGGATGGATCCTTCTCTACTTTGGTGTTATTTTTGGTAACCTCACTGCTGCTCCCAATGTAGATAGAATGTGATTAAGCAAGTTTGCCCTAATGGGATTCTGTCCAAGACTGAGGGACACTTGTAACTTTTGAGTCCCAAAAGTTTCAGAGGACCTGGGAGGCCTTTGAGGCGGAGGCTACAACATGCCAGAAATGGAATTTCCTGATGGCAGGAGAAGCTTTAACACTGGATAAATCCATAAGAAAGAAGATTGAAAGAAACTGAGGATTGAAGAAGAGTGGGCATCTCTTACACGAGTGACTCATAAAGCTTATTATAATTAGCACTTTGGGAGAAGAGGACAGGGTCAAAGGGACAACCTCTTGGATGAGAGGAGGGGAAATCAAAGGTACAAGTGGAAGAGGTTGACTTTGGCAAAGAGAAGGGTCACCAGTTTGTCAAGAGACTGGAGTAAAGGCACAGAGAGTGGGGAAATAACAAGGTTTCCAGGTGTAGAACATAGGAGGAAGAGAAAGGAAAAGCTGGGTGGGGCAGTGGATGGATTGCTGGGCCTAGAGTCAGGAAGACTCCTCTTCCTGAGTTCAAATCTGGCCTGAGAAACTTACTAGCTGTGTGACCCTGGGCAAGTCACTTAACCCCATTTGCTTCAGTTTCCTCATCTGCCAAATGAGCCAAAGAAGGAAATGGCAAACCACTCCAGTATCTTTGCCAAGAAAACCCCAAATAGCGCCGAGAAGAAGCAGACATGTCTGAAACAAGTCAACAACAAGGGAAAGCTACCAAATGCTAGAATGAGATCATGGTAGAAATTCTGGAAGAGTAATTCTTGCATTGGATGGGAGGCTTGACTAGGCCAAAGGTCTCAAACTCAAAAAGACATTTATTTGAATTAATCTAATCACTTCCATCTATACATTTTTTCCCATTCACAAAGACTTGTTATCAAAAGGATAAAGGACTGCATGTTATTATCTGGAGGGGAAGGAGTTGTGCTAAACAGAGATCTGGGTTTGACATTCTTAAACTCAATAACCTTGTCTTTTTCAACTCTAAGATTCTGAGATGTAGGTTTCCTATTTGGATGAGAATTATGACCTAGTGGCTGTCCACTAATTTTTAAAAGCATTCCTCTGGGATTCTGATCAGAGCCTATAATATTCAAAAATTCTTTGTGAGAAGCTAAAGGCCCTACACAAAAACCAGTAAAAGGCAAGGAAGATCTCTCCTCAGGTTGGTACACTCTCTGCATCTAGGTAGATGGATAGATTGATAGAGAAGATAGAGCATTTATTAAGGCTTATTATGTTCAAGCACTGGAGATAAACACAAGCAAGTAAGATGATTCCTTCCTTAAGAAGTTTATATTCTGATGCAAGAAGACATGTCTATTTCTGCAGCAGTGGATGTCAGGGGGTTTGACCACTAAATCAGTGGAATTATTCTAAAGACAAACTATCGATCATTCTGCCCTAATTTTTCAGCAGGTTTGAGATGCAACACATTAATAAGGTTTGTGTAGTGCTTGGAGATAGTTAAGCATAAACAAGTTTATTATTCTGAAGTACTGAGGGAGCTCCCATTAGAACTAATAAGAACAACAAAGACTCTCCCAAGAGACTGGTAGCTGACAGGCTGGTGCATTACAGGTAGAGAAGAAAAGATCAACAGATGGGGACCATATGGGCTACTGTATTTTAATCAAGAAAAATATGACCTTGTAAGCCAAGTGGGATACTACTGTGAAAGAACATCAGTCATAAAATAAGCAGATACTGAGAGGTTGGAGCCTTTTTGCCAAGGATGCTGTCCTGGGCTTTACCTAAATGACACCTGGCAAACCTTCTGAACAGTCAACATGAAATAACTGGTATTTTACACCTTTACAACATTCACTGATTTGGTGGCCTGACTTCCAGGACATCGCTTCTCTTTTGAAAGGACCCAGCCTTACCACCTGTTTCTTGTTCACAGGATCACAGAATCACAGATAGGTGGTACAGTGAATAGAATGCCCGGATTGGAGTCAGGATGCAATGGGTGATGTTGGCCTTTCTAAATTAAGGTCTTTCCCAGGTCTCACTTTGTCTGAGGCCACGCTTATTTGATGATTAAGGGCTAGGTAAGAATTGAAACAAAAGATGGCCCAATGGTATTGTAATAAATGAGAGTGGTATAAAATATTACAGAAATTCATGGGAGGGAGAGCTCAGCTCTGGTTCAAATGATTAGAGGAGGCTTCATGAAAGAAATAAAGCTGGATCTAAAGAATGAGAAGAATTTTACAGGCAGTGATGGTAAGGATGGCTTTTCAGGTGAAAAGAATGACATGAGCAAAGATTTGGATGTGGGAAAGGGAAAGGTTCATTTGGGGAGGATTGAATGAATAGCAACTGAAGGAAAAAGCATCTTGAGAAAACCATTACAGGGTTCCTGAATCTAACCTACTCTGATATGCCCCCCTAGGATTACAGGCCTAGAATGAGTAACTTGTATATGCTCACTGTTGCCCTGGTCCAGCTGTGACTCCTAACCTTATGGCTCCTAGCTGATGAACATCAGTCAGTAAGTTAGAAGTTCTGGTGGTTCAGCCATAAAGTAGATCTTGCAGATGAAGAAAGGTGATGCTAATTTCAGCTCAAGTTACCAACATGTACAACAATCTTCTGGCACACAGCAGAGTACCATATCAGGGTATGTCAACATATATCAAGGTGTGTCAACATTTTGGGCATGTGTGGATTTACCTCGGGTACGTTGCACAAATACCGCAGCAGCTCACCAATGTACTGTATGACTGTCACTTTGTATTTTCTGCAGTCTTCCCAGAACTGGCTGGCTGAAAATTTGGTACGTAAAGCTAAGGTAGCACCTACAAACCAGAGAAGATGAAGAATTGCCATATAAGAGAGCAGTAAAGAAACCCAAAGGTGTTTTCGTGCATTCTTTCCAATTAAATTTTTTATTATTTTCTTTGAGAAGTGAAAATTCAAATATTAACATCTTCCTATATCTATTTACCACAGTTCAATAGGAATCTTAGAAAAAAAAAGATGATGCTTAGAAATACATTTTTGTTTATTGTTTGATCTTTATCCTTCCTGATTCATAACATCCCAAAGCTTAAAGACAGGGTCTTCACAGAAAGACCTAACTAAAGTTCTATTATGGAATCTTGTCATGGCATGGAGGTGACTCTGGGTTCCCAGAGGCTTTGCCAGTTGAATGGAATTTCTGGCAGGTCCTCTATCAAGCTGGAAAGACTCTAAGTCTGGGTCCAGCAATGGAAGGTTTGTCATCTGAGATCCAATTTAACTAATTTCTGAGATGCTCTTTACTAACTAGAAGGTTGGCCACCAGGTAACGAATGTTTGGCATCTCATGCAGACTATCTCTACTAAGAGGTCTGCAAGTTCTATTTGCACTGGTGGAAGGATAAACCTTTTACGGGATTGCATTAAATTTAGAAACAAAACAAATCCCAGTGCTCTTTTTTCTTTCAAAGTAGCCTGTGTGTAGTAAGAAGAGGCTCTGCAAAGGGATTTCAATCGACTTTCCTAATTTGTACATTAACTAGGTAAATTTAACCTAAGCAAAGAACCTTGGGCAAATCACTTAACCTGACTAACTAACTCTGGGACTGTTTCCTCATCTATCAAATGAGAGTTGAATTCGGAAATCTTGCAAGTCCCTTCTGGATCTAGCATTTTGTGACACATGACTAGGACTGGCTGTTATATAAGCAAGAAAGAAACATTATTCTTGTGTTTACAGGAGGCTTAAAAAGACACTTGACCTTCTAATAACACTCAACAGAAAATGCATGCATATTTTCAGGGTTGAGGGTTGCCACAGCAGCAAAGGTATGTAATTTGCAACTGTTCTCTATCGGCACATATCTGAATTCCAGTTTTATGACTTATTTAAGGAAAAGATTGGAAAGTCAAGCTCTGCATGAATCTAGAAATCTCCATAAGAATGACAAGCAATTTTAATCATATCTACCGACAGGAAATAGGATTTCTGTACCAGGGCTAGGAAAATACTATTTATGTGAATGGACTAAAATGTCAGAAAAAATACATTTCTGTTTATTGTTTGATCTTTGTCCTTCCTGATACATAAAATCCCAAGGCCTGAAGTTAGGATCTTTACAAAAAATCTCTATTAATGTTCCCCTATGGAGCCTCTCATGGTACAGAGCAGGGGTGCGGAACCAGCAGCCTCAAGGCCACATGTGGCCCTCTAGGTCAAGGCCCTTTAACTGAATCCAAACTTCACAGAACAAATCCCTGCACAGAGGTATACGAGTATACCCTGGTATACAGAATGTGCTTGGCTTAGCTTCTCAGGGAAGAGTGGGGATGGTATTCCAGGTGAAACCCTTTTTTTTTCCTTGACAGATAGAAAGCAAGATTACAACCCTTTACTCAAGTGAGTGTAACCATTTGAAAAGGACTTGTGACAATGAAAAGACCATGGCACCTAAATGAGATAATAACAGATGTAAAGTGCTTTGCAATCCTTTAAGCTCTGAATATCAATGCTAGTTATTATTTGCCGAAGATAATAACAACTGCTTAAATAGCCCTTTAAAGTTTGCCATATTGCCTCATTAGAGCCACACAATAACCCAGTGAGGAAAATATGACAAGTGTTGTCATCTCCATTTTACAAATGAGGAAACTGAGTTGTAGAGGGGTTTGGTGATCTGCCCACAGTTACTCAGCTGGTAAGTCTAAGAGGTAGAATGTGGACAGTTCTTCCTGATTCCAAGTCCAGCACTCAATCCAAATATATTGCCTCATGAGGAGACAAGATGACCACCTTCAATGAGATGACCACCTAGCAGCAGGCAGGGATAAGAAATCTATTTTCCAGAGTCATCTTGGACTACAGCTTTCTTGCTGGTGGGAGCCCTGAAAGTACAGTACACTCTAAGTAAGGCCAACCCTGATGAATTAGGAAAATGTGCATGAAACCAGATTGTAAACTCATTGAGGGTTGGGAATGTCTTTTGCCTCCTTTTGTATCCTTGGTGCTTAGCAGTGCCTGGCACATAGAAGGCCCTTGATTGATATAAACGTAACATGATTTTTGCAAGTCACAGCTGCAACTTTCTTCAGCAACCTCTGAACCAAGGTACCAGAACGTAGTGCCAGTTTCTTTTCTTTTCTTTTTTTTTTTTGGATGGATGGAGGTATTCTCTGATTTCTCTATCATGCCCCTAACCACTCAGTGCTTTCAGCAAACTCTCTTAAGACTATAATGACGTCATACCATGTGTTGATTTGCATTGGCAGAGGGAGTTTTCTCTTCCAATAAAACAACAAGAAATTACCTAGGGTACATGCTTCATCCCTTCAGTTAACTGTCAGCAGCAACTTAAGGACAGGCCTCACTTTCCATTGTGTCTCCAGCACAAGATGGTCCCATAAGACTGTAAATACTTTAAGAGTAGAGACTATCTGCTGCCTTTCTTGGTATCTCAAGAGCATAATTAGCACAGGGCTTGGCAAATGGTAAATGCTTAATAAATATTTATTGAATGATTGACTGGCTCAGTACGCACTCAGTACAAGCTTGTTGAATTGTACTGCACTGAACTGGATATGGTGACCAGGGCATCCTCACTACACTTGGGAGTTCTTTAGGAAAGCTGTAGCAGGTACCCTATTGTCATAAAGTAGAAAGGGATGCAATGAGGGAGAAATTAGACCCTGATGTCAGTGGGAAACAATGAAAGGCTTCTGGAAATGGTTATGTAAGAGGCTCTGGAGTTTATAAATTGTTTTTAAACATGGACAGGGCCCTAAAGCATTTCAGAGCATCTTCTACCTTAACATATGATATAATTTTCTTAAAGTATTCTAAGGAGCTGCATATTAAAACCAGGGCAACTAAGGAGCATGGTGGAGAGACCACTGGCCCTTGAGTCAGGAAGACCTGAGTTATGCCTCAGATACTTACTAGCTGTGCGACCCTGTGCAAGTTGTTTAACCTTGTTTGCCTCAGTTTCCTCATCTGTAAAATGAGTTGGAAAAGGAAATGGCAAACCACTCCAGTATCTCCGTCAAGAAAACCCCAAAGGGGTCACATAAATTCAGAAACGACTGAGCAACAGCAATACTAGAAACTGAAGGATGAGAAAAATTGAGAACCCTTTGTTTTTGTTTCAGGAGGGTACATAACACTCGATTAGCCACTTTCTCCTGTCAGAGACAACAGGGGACAATGGCAATACCAGGAGTTCAAAGTTTATGAAGAATCTTACAGCTTACAAAGAAGCTCTTTCCCCTCAATGACCCTATGAAGTAGGTAACACATATATCATTGCCCCACAATTTACAGACTTGTAAACTGAGCCTTAGAAAGGTAAAGGGACTTGCCCCAAGATCACATATCTAATAAGCAGCAGAACTAGGGCTCAGACCGAGAACACTGAACTGGAAGCCAGCTGTTTAACAACACTGGTCAAATTGCTTCCTTTCAGTGCCTTGGTTTCCTCCTTTGTAAAATGGAGAGGTGGGACTAGATGATTTCTATCATCCCTTCCAATTGCAAATCCTTATGATGGTGGTTCTCAAATTTCTTTTTGCTCTCAACACAGCATTTTCTGCCACGAGGAATTCTGGCACACTGAATCTTTAAGTTGGCACAAATAAGGCTATTTGGGCAGCTGGGTCTCCATGCCCCTCACTTGCCTAGGCCTTGGGATTCCTCTGCCTTTTCTTGCCTGTCTTCCACTTTGTCATCCTCTTTCTTTACTTCCCTAGACCTTGAATCAGAGAGTCATTGTGATCACCCCAACAGCAATCCAGGGGGGAAAACGACTGGCCAACTGCAGTTGGGGATGGAGACTGGGGAACACGGAAGTCTTTGGGTGTAGGGTAGATTTTCCCAGGCACACCTAAATGAAACTCACAACACACTCTTTGAGAATAACTTTTTTATGATTTATGATCTGACCCTCAACTCAGTAATCTTTACATTAAACCACATGCCCTTTTATGTTGGTTCTTTTGAGGTGTAGGTGTTGACCGAACACTAACACTTGAAAAGTACAAGCTTACCTTTTAAAATGCATCCATGTAATCCAATCAAGAGGGCAGCGCTGTGATACATTGGCAGAGGAGTATAGATCACATCCTCTGAATTGATATCGCTTGCTTGGAAGATGCCAGTGGCATACCATATGCGCCGATGATTGATCACTGCAGCTTTGGGGAGACCTTTGCAAAGACACAGCAGAAAGACCGAACAGGCTGAGGGAACTCAACTGCAGACATATCACAATTCACACATATAGTGCTTTAAGATTTGCAAAGCACTTTCCTCATAACAATCTTGTGAGGAGGTAGGTGCATGTAGTAACAGATGACATTTATATAGCATTTTAGTGTTTGCAAAGTACATTCAATACCATATCTCATTTGCTCTTCATTATAATGCATTGAAGGCAGCTGGGTGGTGCAGTGAATAGAATGCTGGACCTGGTCAGGAAGACCTGAGTTCAAATGTGACCTCAGTGCAAGAAAATCAGAAAATAGGAAGGGACCAGATTATAAAGAGCTTTCAATGAGAAACAGAAGAGTTTATATTTGATCCTGGAGGTAACAGGAAGCTGCAAGGGGAGGAGTGGGAAGCAGGCAAGAGGTAAGGGAGGTAGCAAACACAGTAAGTTCTACACTTTATAAGACTTAGCAAACATACCCAAGTCTCCTCATTCTTCAAAAACCTTCATCAGACTATCCCATCAAAGTTACCAAAAAGTTATCAATTGCCCAATCTGATGGTCTTTTCTCATCCTTCTCAACCTTGCTGTTGTTGTTAAGCCTTTTTTTCAGTCATGCCTGCCTCTTTTGACACATAATATCCCTAATGAGTGCTCTTTTGGCTTCTACAAAAGTTTTTATGTAAGTTGTTTTCCCACAAAAAACATAAAAACTGGTGAGGTTTCTAGGCCAGCCTACAACAGTCTAATTGATAATGCATCTGAAATGTAAGATTGTGCTATGGAACCTAACTGCCCTATGGGAAAAAAGTTCTATTGGAAAATGCATTTTCTACTAATTAGAGTACGAGTCTGGAACTCTGTCTCCCTGACTACTCTCTCCATCTGTAAGCCATGACTCTTTTTCTTGGCAAAGATACTGGAGTGGTTTGCTATCTCCTTCTCTACCTCATTTTATAGATGAGCAAACTGCAGCAAACAGGGTTAAATGACTTGCCCAGGGTCACACAGTTAGTTTAAGTGTCTGAGGCCAGATTTGAACTCAGAAAGATGAGTCTTCCTTACTCTAGACCCAGCACTCCATCCACCGTGCCACTTAGCTGTCCCCTTCTCAACTTATCTGCAGGATTTAATACTGATGACCCATAGTTTTCACCTGGATACCCTCTCCTCTCTGGGTTTTTGTGTCTCTTCTCTCTCCTGGTTCTCCTCCAACCTGTCTGACTGCTTCTTCTCAGTTTCCTTCGCTGGTTCATTGTCCAAATCATGTCTGCAAGCTGTGAGTATTCCTAAGGCTCTGACCTCCTACTTTTCTCTGGAGTCTTTCTCGATGACCTCATCAATTCTATGTGTTTAATTATCATCTCTATGACCATGATTTCCAGACCTACTCTCTCCCCAGAGACACAATACTGCCTCACTAGTTTTCTATTGGATATTTCAAACTAGATGAACCAGAAACTCACTATGTTCCTATTTAATCAACTCCGGTGTATTCCTGTTGCCTCGAGAATCAAACATAAATTCTACTGCTTAGTTTGTCTTTCCGGCCTCAGTGGACTTTACTCTCTTCCTACGCTCTGCGGTCCAGCCAGACTAGCTTCTCTTGTCCTCACACACAAACAACACTCCATCTCTATGCCTCATCACTTGCTCTCCCCAGTTCCTGGAATACTCTCCCTTCCCCCTTCTGCCTCACAAAGTCTCTTTTTCTTAAGACACAGATCAAGTACGCCTTCTACAGGAAGCTCTAACAAGCAAGGATGACGCCAGGATAAACGGGCCACCGTAGGCATGAATGAGTCCTCCCCCGCCCCTAGCCTTTCAGGAGAGCTGAACAGACACTTGTTAAGCACATTGTGTATGTGTGTGCGTGTGTGGAGGGGAGGGGAATTCCGTTTAGGTATGGGTTGGACTGTATGACCTGTGAGGTTCAATGCTGAGGCTCTATTAGGTTTTGCACTGAAATTCAGTCTTTTGTGCCCTGCCCTACGGTTTTCCACACGATGTCTGAGTGAGAAAAGAGAAGGCAAGTGGGCAGAAGGAAGTAGGGCAGTGAGTTTTTTTAAACACAAATTTATCCTCAGGAAAAGGAAATAATAGGACCTGACCTTAAGAACCGGAAAAGAAAGGAAAGGGAAAACAATGAAGCTGAGGAGCTAGTCTAGGAGAAGGAAAGGGTTTTGTGGGTTGATATAGCCAGTAGGCCCTGCTGAATCAACTCCATATCCCCATAGAGTCATGGATTACAGATGGAAGGAGTGGTCTGAGAGACAGAGTGCCAAACTCAAACTCTAATTAGTAAAAAATGCATTTTCCAATAGAACTTTGTTCCTATAGGGCAGTTAGGTTCCATAGCACAATACTACATTTCGGATACATTACCAATTAAATAGACTATTGTAGGCTGGCCTAGAAACCTTACCAGTTTTTATGGGAAAACAATTTATTTAAAAACCTTTGCAGAGTAGAGGCTAAAGGAGCACTTCATTTGGGATACTAAGTGTGTGGAGGGGAGGGAAATTCCTGTTCAGGTATGGGTTTGTAGGTTGGGAACAAAATGTACTTCAAAAACAACTCAAAGTTCATATCCTTCCTGGAAGAGTCAACTGTCTCACCCTAGTGGAACTCATGTGTCAACTGGGTTCCTCACATGACTGATGGGTATAATTCTTTTTAAGTGGTAGCAGTGGCAGAGAGAAAGAAGGGACAGATTTCGCAAGATCTCTTTGGCTCATGTCCACACCCAGGGAAAACCTTGGAAACATCAGTATCTGGGCTTGTTTTGCCCTCCCTAAAAGGGCCTCGGCTTTCCTTGTAAGCACTCAGGCTAACAAGACATCAAATATAGTACTGGTTTTATTTAACCCAACAAAAAATGCAGAATAGGCTTGTACTGGAACCCCCTGTCAATTAGAAAAACTCTCTTCCCTTTACTACAGGGACTTGCATAATCCTTTTTACTTTTGGTACTAAATTAGGTGGCTCAGAGTCACAAAGTGAGTCATCTTTCTGCTTGTTCTTGAATAGTTAACATGAAGAGAAAAATCCAAATTGTTCCACATAGGGAGGGTGTTCTAAAAGTCCTGATGCAGTTTTTAATCTATTAAAACTTATAAATGTACCTCAACATAGTGACATATATATAGATATATATGTTTGTGTGTGTGTCTATGTCCATCCATCTATCTATCTATCTACCTCTCTCTCTCTCTATCTATCTATCTATCTATCTATCTATCTATCTATCTATCTATAAACAAAACCCTAAAGACGTATTTGGTAAACTTGGAGAGAGCAAGTAGTAGGGTCAGCAGCCAAACTTCAAGGGATTGAAAAGAAAGTGGGTGGTAAGTAAAAAGGCAGCTAGGGTAGACAATCATTTTAAGGTTTTTGACAATCAAAGAGTAAGGAGACCTAGGACATAGTATTGAGGGGATGGAAATAATGAAGGGTGCAGTTTTAGAGAAACCTAGGAAGTCTTGTAAAAACTGATGTGAGCAGGACTAAGATAACAATTCATACAATTATAGCAATATTGTAAAGTCAAACAACTTTGAGACTTCACAAGAACTCTGATCAACACTGACTAACCATGATTCTAGAGGACTCATGATGAAACATACTATTCGCCTCCTAACACAGAGGTGATGGATTCAGAAAGCACATTTTCACAAATCTTTTTCTGGGATGTGCCTAATGCAGAAATTTGTTTTGTTTGGCTATACGTTTTTGTCATAGGGGTTTTATTTTTCTTTCTTTCTCACAAGTGTGATGGTGGTGAGGGGAATGGGAGGGAGAGAAGTCAGATTCTTACTGACTGACAAAAATAAAATTTAATTTAAAAAAAGAACATAAGCTCCTTGAGGTCAAGGACTGTTTTTGCCTTTCTTTGTATCTCCCAGAACTTAGCATAGTGCCTGACATATAGTAAGTGCGTAATAAATGCTTGTTGACTGACTGGCAAACTGTAGGAAACAGAAAGGGAGAGGCTCAAGGGTACTGGTAAAGCAATTGACTTTGGCAATGAAGGGCCAACTTTTCTTCAGAGACAAGAGTAAGTGAGGAGAGGCTGGTGAAGGGTTTTGAGGTATGGAGTGGGGAGAGGAAGCAGCCCTCAAAAGATAAAGTGAGTGGGCAAGTAAGTCATGTCTCCATTTAATTTTTGTCCCATCCCCTCTTATTCACAGAGGATTTCTGGAACATGTAGGTAGGAAGAGACCTGCTTCCAAATGTGAGAGGACACACGGTCTCTGAGGTGGAGGGAGTTTCCAAGCTGCATGTAGGACCATCTACTTTACAAATATCCACCATTTCCAAAGAGCGCCAAAGAACTAGGACCAGAAAAAGATGTTAAAATAGAGAGGGACAACTATGAGGACCTTGCCCTTATAAATCCTAGAGGGATATAGGTAGCAAAGAAAGGCTGGGACCCCAGGCTTAGTGCAACTCTGGCCAGATGTTGGACGCCAGATTGTATGCCAAACTGATTAGGATTTCAGATCCCAAGTCAACTGTACCATCTGTTCTCGTTTTACTTCTGATATATCTTTTGGGTATATTTTATCACTTGCCTTTCTGGGATACAATTACTGAGCTGGTACCATTTGTTAATTCAGTCCAGTCCCTGGGAATACAGATCTATGGACCTTAACTACCTGCCTTGGCACAGTGGCTGGCACATAATGCATGGTTAATAAACGTTTATTGACTGCCACCCCCCCCCATCCTCAGCTCCTTGGTGTGTGGAGAAGGATCAGCACGCCAGTGCTGTCTTTTAGCACCAAAAGACCCTATGGATGGAGACTCCAACCAACTGACACATCTGGATAGCAGATGTGGACTTCTTCCACTCTTCCTAGTGATTTGGAGTCACTGTCTCCTTGGACGAAACTTCTTCCCCTTTCGCGCTCATTTCTTTCCTGGCTCCATTCCTTTTCTATCTCCATGTACTCCACGCACTTTTCTATTTCTACACTAGCAGGCTTCTCGATCTAAAGATGCTTCTAAGGACGTGCCCAGACCAGCCATGCTTATTTCTCGCTCAGATCCAGGTCTAACTCTTTGGATTCTTCTACTATCTCTTCTCCATCAGCACTCCCTTGCTGTTTTTCAGCTACCTTTTCTGTATTATTTTTCCTCTTTATACTATAAACTCTTAGTGGTTAGGGACTGTCTTTTTTCATATATATGTGTATCCCCAATGCTTAGCATAGTGCTCGGCACATACTGAGTGTTTAATAAATGCTCAATATATCTATTTATTGATCAATCTCTCTGTCTCTCTATCTACTGACCTACTTCACTTCATACTCTTGTCCTCATCTAGCTCAATCTTTCTACAACCTAGTTCCATTTCTCTTTCCTTCTATTGTTCCCTGAAGAACTGATGCTTGATGATTAACAAACTTCCTTTCATCTTCAAGATTTTCTTTGGTATCTCCTTGAACCTTCCATTATTCACAGAAACCTGGTTCCCTCTAGGAAACAGTCTGTCTTTGGCTATTCTCACTCTGCAATGCTGATTGTTTTTTCCTCCCATGGTGTTGCCTGATCGCCTAGGCCAGGAAGAGGAAGTGACAGACTTCTTGTTGCCTACTGTAATTTCCAGACCCTCCCTCTGCCACCACAATTCAGCAACTTCTCTTTCTATAAGAGCTTGCTCCATCCATCTGTATCTGTGATTTCCTGGCTTCAAGATAGCCTTTCCTCCTCCTTCCTTCCTTCCTTCCATCCATCCATCCATCCATAGGGTCATGACAGCTAGTAAGTGTCTGAGGCCACATTTGAACTCAGGTCCTCCTGACTCCAGGGCCAGTGATCTATCCATTGCACCACCTAACTTCTCCCCCTTTCTTCTTTCTCGAAGAGTTTAATACCTGGTTCACAATCTTTCACTCTCTCCAATTGATCCATTTCTATACATTTAGGGATTTCAATATAAATATTGGTTGTCCCTTCAAACATACTAGCATCCTAGTGCTTCAATCTGCTGGGGGGGGAGGGGGGAGGGGGGAAGGGAACAAAAGCACCTACTATATGACAGGCACTGTTCCAAGTGCTTTACAAATATCATCTCATTTTATCTTCACAACAACCCTGAGAGGTAGGTGTTATTATTTATTATTTATATTATATATTTATTATTTATTATCTTTATTTTGAAGAGACTAAGGCAGACAGAAGTTAAGTGACTTGTCCAGGACCACACAGCTGGAAGTGTCTTACGTTAAATTTGAACTCAGGTCTTCTGGTCTCCAGGTCCAATGTACCATCCACTGTACTACCTAGTTGCCTATGACCTTTACTTGTGACTCCTCCTCAGCCACTCACAGTGTTGGTCATGTTATAGATACATCATCACTAATAACTATGTCACCTTCATAATTTTAGAACTCTGAATTTACCATTCTGATCATAATCTCCCATATTTTCATTTCTCTGTCTCATGTCACCCAAACCTATTCTTTGTCTCACCAAAGCCTCCTTCCATTTCTCACTGTGCTCCTGGTTAATGACCCTTGTTCTGGCCTTACTTTCTTGTCTTCATGGTTTTCGCCCTATAAGTTACTAGATTCAGTAATACACTGTGTTGTATTTTAGACATTTTGCCCTCAAATCATTCAAATTTTGCCAAACAGAAATCCACATTGAGGTCTTGTGACCGGTACTTGTGATGTTTCACGGCTGCAAATCACAAAACACTACCATCTCTGAAAAAAGCTTGCAATACGTGTTGAGTTGTGTGAAAGAAATGGGATAAAATCTATTTTCTAGGAAATGGAGGAGGCCAATCATGTATGGAGAGCCTGACAGCTGAAATGGTATTTGTACAGTGTTAGAAGATCTAAAGAAAGGCTGCTGTAGTGCATTTGGTAGTGGATTTATGGGAGGATAGAAACAGGGGTCAAACAGGGTAAGAAGATGTAGATGTAGATGGGTTGCAATCTGCACCACCAGAAAGAGTGCCTACATTCATGAAACCATGGTTCCACTATTGAGATATTAAAGTATGAAGGCACAAATATTTGAAAGCTCTGTAATTTTATCAGTGTACCAACTTGTCTGGCACTTAGTACAGGCTGTCCCATCCCTGGAATGAATACCCTTCTCACTTCTGTCTCTTAGAATTCCTAGCTTCCTTCAGAATTTAGATCAAACACTAATTCCTACAGGAAGCCTTTCTTGATTCCTTTCTCTCCCAACTGCTAGCGCCTCCCCATTGAAATTACCTCGCATTTATTTTATGTATTTGAGTGTACACGCTATCTCCCCATCCAGAATATACATAGAGCTCCGTGGGGAAGGACTGTTTCATTTTTGTCTTGGGATCCACAACTCCTAACATAGTGTGTAGCACACACTGCCTAGCAGATAAATGCTTGTTAACTGGTAGTAGATAAGTCAGAGGGAGTTACCTGAGACATACAGTCAGTCAGTCAATAGTCACTTATGAAGTGCCAGGCACAGTGCCAATGTAGAGTAACTTGCCTAGCATCACACAGTTGGTAAATAAGGGTGGGATTTGAATATGGGTCTTCATAACTCCAAGGTTAGCAATCTATTCATTACATTACACTCCTTCTACATATATGGAAATAAATATGTATGGAAATAATACATACAGAAAAACATACACATTGATTTACATAATACAAACCCATTTGATCATTTAAAAGCAAACAATATATTTGATCAACATTTAGAATGATTAAAGTGACTAGATCAAATATTCTGATATCCTAATGGGGGGGGAGAAGACAACAAGCATTTATTGAGTACCTACTACGTGCCAGGCGCTGTTCTAAGTGCTTTACAAATATTATCTCATTTTCTCTTCCCAATAACCTTGGGAGATAAGTGCTATTATCCTTATTTTGAAGAAACTGAGGCAGACTGAAGTTACAACAATCCAACAAGAAGTACAACAGACCCAAGCTTAATATGACACTTTAGGATGAAGGTTCTTAACCTTTTTTTTGTGTTCTGGACCCTTTTGACAGTGTAGCAAAGCCTATGGAGCCTTCTCAGAATGATGATTTTTTTAAAAAATCCATAATTCAGGGAAATGCTAAATTTTAGTGAAAGGTTAGTGAAAATAAAGACATAATTTTATCCAAGTTCATGGACCTCCTGAAAGGTTTATAGGCTCCTGGTTAAGAAGCTCTGTTTTAGAGAAAATTTTACTAGAACAAAACATGTTGCAAAAATGACAAGTTGCCAACATTCTAGTATGAGTGTAGGGATGTGTCCAGAAAGAGGAAATGACTCTGAATGGATATAAAAAGCTACTAGAATTATAGTCCTTAAAGAGGCACCAAATTTTCTGATACCCTTTCCTTTGATGCCCTCCAAAGAAAGCTTCTTAGGGTCCATAGCTGGCAGAAGTGACCTGGCTTATACTATGAACCCTGTAGGAAGAGGGAGAGGGATCAAAAATCTCTAAGACTCTATGGACCCAGATCCATCCTCAGAAAGCCTGCCACTTCTGCTCTGGGTTCTGGGGAATTATAATATTAAGGGAATTCTAAGAAGATGAATGGTTTTGAGTGGTGGGGGGATGGGATAAATTCAATTATACAACATAATTTATCCCAGGTCCTAAATCCCCACAAAGATGGCCCCATTCTTAGAGCTTTCCAAAGTTGCCCCAGGGTCCAGGGCAATTCTAATTTGGCCAGTAGGCAGGAAAAAAAGAAAGAAAGAAATGTCTAAATTTAGAAGGGAGGTTATTGAGCTCTCAGGATTTTAGGGGGTGATTTTACAACCTTAAACCAAGGGGTTTTTTTTAGTATAGCTTTTTTGAATTTAGCCCAAGTTCTTCTAGTTTTACTATTATTTTGTTTGTCTACATTATTATTTATTATTATTGTTCCGGATGTAGGACTTGTATAGCCATTAAAATAAAATAACAAAAACCCGGCCAACTATTAATTTACTCCATAACTGATTTCATTCATCATTGTTTGATTTAAAAAATAAATATTTTTATAGCCAGCTAACTCTTAATCTGTACCATTCCAGGAAGGGTAATGAAATATATGGCACATGTGAAGCAATCTTTTCTTTTGTAGGAGGCTAAATGGGATTAGGTTATGAAATAAGATCTGTTACAGGCAAAGCATTCATTGTCTCATCAGCTTTTCCAAAGAAGGAGAAAACCAACATCTTAACCCCATATTCAGCTCCCACTGGAAAGTTGCTTTCAGAACTTGTTAGCTATCATCATTATGATCATCATTCTTTATTTACCTGTGGTCCCAGAAGTATAGATGTACATGGCAGGAGTTGAAAAATCAACATCTGACCTCCAAGACTCTGGGATGGGTTCATCAGAAGTTTCGTCCAATTTGTCAAGGAGGGAGTCAACACCATCTGTGGTAGAAGTTCTACTCAGATAATAGATAGACACATCATCTTTCTTCAGGGTTGGCAATATCTCTTCAATGGCTGCTTGTAGAGCTTTATTAAGTAAGAAAAAGAAATAAATTAGTCAATGAAAGTCTTATGAGCATAAGAAGTTATTAGGTAGTTTTGCTCCTGATTTAAATTTTGCTAAATATAAAAATTAACAATATATGCAATTATGACCTTGGGATAAGGGATGCCCTATATTTCCACTTCATCTAAGGGGTCCATTATTTGTGGATTAGTGACTCTAGATGTTAGTGTTTGAAAAACACAACAGATGGCCAAGCTGGTTGAAATTTGCGTTCCTCACAGAGAGTAACAAGTAGACCTAGGGATGAATGCCAAGGGGAAAAAAAATGTGGCTGGCACATTTTTTATTTTTATGACCAGTGGGAATTTGAAAATACTCTGAAACACAATCTAGTTATTCCCAGGTATCCCACTGCAACAAAGGTGTATGTCCCCCAAATGAAAAGAAAATCCTAAAGGAAAAGAGGGACAAAATTTACCTGAGATGGCAGAAAAAAATTAAAGGTTGCTTATAAATGACTACTACCATACAAATCCAGCAACCCTCAGAAATAGATACTAACATTTTTATGAACAGGATTTTTCTTTTTACTGGACATGTGATAGCCTTTTCACTTCTGGACCTTCTGCCCTCAGGTCTCTGCCACCCTAATTGGTGAGTGTTTCTCAAGGCCCACTATCCACTGGCCATCTTCCCCTTCTTGGCCCTGTTGCCCCAAAAGTAACTACCTCCACCTTAACCCTTTTCAATTCTGGAGCTATAATCAAATCAATATTGCAATTTCTTTTCTTTTCTATCATAGGTAGTATGGCGTAATGAGTAGAGTGCTAGACTTTGAATTTGGATGGTCAGGGTTCAAGTTTCTCTTTAGAGACTAGCTGTGTGACTCTGGGCAGGTCAGGTAACTTCAAACTCAAAGCCTCCTTCTATCTCTAAATCTAATATTGTTATATCATAATTGTGTCATTTTGAATTATTCTATCAAATGTCATATCTATGACATTAATGAAACAATGGATCCATTATTGAAATGCTAAAGTACTAGGAAACAAATCTTCGAAAGTTCTTTGATTTTTATCAGTGTACCAACCTGTCTGGCATTTAGTACAGATTATCTTTGCCTGGAGTGAACTACTTCTTCACCTCTGCCTCTAAGAATCCTTAGCTCCCTTCAAATTTCAGCTCAAACTCCAAATCCCACATGGGGCTTTTCTTGATCCCTTAGGCTACTAGCTCCTTCCCCACTGAAATTAACCACTGAGGATCTGAAAGTTCTTTGGCACCTTCAAACAGTTGAAAGGATGTGGTTTTATCAATGGAAATGCCAGTAAACAAGATGTATTACCACCTGTTTAGAAACTGTACTCTGAAGACAATGGGGTGTTTCCATTTGACTTGCTACTGAAACCTCTTCTATATGCTGCCTCCTCCTATTAAAATATGAGTTGCTTCAGAGCAGAGACTATCTTCTTTTTCTATCTGTATCTCAGTGCTTACACAGTGCCTTGTATCTAGTAAGTTCTTAATAAACACTTTTCCCTCTACTTATTGCTACTGGAAGGAGTGTGTCAATCTATTTCCCTATGTTTCTACTCATGAGCCTCATGACTTTCCAAACCAAACCATGCTTGACCAGACACCACTCCCCCATCAGTATTGTCTCTCCAAATACAAAACTGGCAGAGACATCTCAGTTTTGTATTGGGATTCCCAGTGCTCAGCACATACTATAGTAAGTGCTTAAATACTTTTTCATTCCTGCTTTCATTCATTGGGATAGGGAATCCTTGGTAAAGACATTCCTTCTAATAGTGCAGGTCGAAATTCTAGTCTAAGAACATAGTGTTAATGAGATTGGGGTACTGAGTGTTTCAGTGATCTGACTAGGGTTGCACAGACTTAAAACTAGCTCTGCCTGAGTGTGAGGCTAATTCTTTGTCCATTACACCACACTGCCTCCCTCTTCAGTTTTCTGTAGTTGACCAAAAACAATTGATTAAGGAAGGAAGTGATTAAGGGAGTTTGATTGATGAAGGAATTGATTTAGGACGTCAATCTGCAATCTACAACTGTACATTTGCTGTCTGGACTTTTGGCTCTGTTCTCACAATATAAAGATTGCTTCTATGCTTAGTTGTCTTGCGTTGTGTTAATGCAAGTGAACAAATCTATTCTCAGAGGGAAGATGACTTGACAGCCCAAGGAGATAGCTTAGGGCAACTCTATTTGATTTTTTCTTTATGCTTTGTTTCTCAATTTTTCGTGCATTGTGAATAAAATTTAATTGGGAAACGTCACCTATAAAATGGCATTTCTTATTATAGTTGATAAAAATATGTAATTTGTCAGAAAACAAAGAGGTATTGCTTAGAATAAGTGACTAATTTTGTATAATTGCCTTGGTGCAAATAATAGGAGTATGAAAAAGAAAATGAAGGAATGAATGAAAATAACAAAGGGACAGCAAGTAAGGACCTTAATGTAACTGGCATCTCAACTTAGTAAAAGGAGGATGACTACTGGCTTATATAGCTGCTCTGAAGCAGCTTATATTTTAACAGGAGGAGGCAACATATAGAAGAGGTTTCAGCTGCAAGTCAGATGGAAAGACCCCATTATATAGGCTTATATATATTTCATGCTATAAACTCCATAGGAAAGGGTTTTTTTTTTTTGTTACTGAGTCATTTTCAGTTGTGTCTGACTCTTTGTGATCCTGTTTGGGGTCTTCTTGGCAGAGATACTAGAGAGGTTTGCCATTTCCTTCTCCAGCTCATTTTACAGATGAGGGAACTGAGGCAAACAAGGTTAAGTGACTTGCCCAGGGTCACACAGCTAGTAAGTGTCTGAAGCCAGATTTGAACTCTGGAAAATGAGTCTTCCTGACTCCAGGCCTGGCATTCTATCCACTGTGCCAACCTAGCTGTCAATTAAGTTAGGACCAAGTAAATAAGGAAGTGAGGGTAAAGTATTACATATGAGAGGAATAATCAATGTTAATGTAAATGGTGTAAATAATTTCCTAGACTAGGGACAGTCTATGGAACCTCTGTAGTTGAGAATCCCATACTTAAGTAATAAAAACATGTGATGTGAATAAGGCTATGGTGCAACCCGATCAGAATAATGAGACTGAGCTCAGTATATAAAATGAGACCGGGGAAGCTGCAAAATTAGGCCAGGTTATAATAATGGAGGATTACCATTATTTACACTGGCTGAATAACTCACAATAAAAGCTATGTTTTAGAAAGGAACAAATGACTGCTTCCTAATACAGTTTTAGAAGCCAAGTCAAAGGAAACACAATGAACTTGATCCTCAGTAGTAAATAGGAACCAATGTAGAAAGTAGCTCTAGATTAGTCATTAAGCATTACCAATCAGCAGAATAAAGTTCAGCCTTCTAGCAGGATGGAAAAATGAAAAATTCAGAGAAAAGAGACGACAAAAGATGGGGATTAATTTGGGAGAAGAAATGGTTAGGAGTCAAAAAGTCACTGACATCTAAAGTCTAGAAATCATTTGGGGGAACAAACTAACAAACGATCCCTTACTGAGAGCTTAGTATAAATACATATTAAGTCTCAAGCTAAGGCAGCTAGGTGGTGTAGTGGATAGAGTTCTGGGCCTAGAATCAGGAGAATCTGAGTTCAAATCTGGCCTCAGACACTTATTTGCTAGCTGTCTGATCCTGGGCAAGTCTCTTAACTCTGTTTGCCTCAGTTTCCTCATCTGCAAAATGAGCTAATGAAAGAAATTTAAAAAAAAAAAAGAAGGAAATGGCAAACCACTCCAATATCTCTGCCAAGAAAACCCCAAACAGGGTCACGAAGAGTTAGATGTGACTGAAGCAACTGAACAACTAGACTCAAGCACAGTAGACCTTGGACCTTCCCACAAAAATGAATAAACACTCTTTGTAGCTAAGTAACAAAATTAAAAAGGTAGGTAAAAATAGCATTTTTCAAGATAATAACAGTTGATAATAACACATAACAATATATAGCATCATGAGACCACTTATCCATGTTACAAAATTTCAAGGGATAGCAGACTTAGTGAATTTTTTTCACCTCATTTTTCACCAAAGAATAAGGAGAGATTCCTATTCCTAAACTCAAAAGAGAGGTGTAATGGAAAGAGCACTTAGTTTGAGGATCAGTGGACCTGGGTAGGAGTCTCAATTCTCCCTATCATTTCCTAGTTGTGTGACTGACCAACATCACCTGAACTGCCTGGAAACTAGAGAAAAAACAAAAAGCCTTATCCTAACAATGTACAAAACTATTACCTAATTTTCCAAGCTGCATAAGATGTTGGTTGCTGTGCATCAGCAAGCATGTAAAGCTGGAGAAAATTCAGAAGCGTAAACAACGATTGTCTCTTGTCCAGTGGATTATGCTTGCTTAAGTGTTCAGTGACTTTAACACAAATAGATTCCACCAGCTTGCCTGATGTGAAAGGGGAATGGATGTGCTATTATATAAGGATAGACTAAAAATGAGGACTCCACTCTGTTTAAGAAAGGCTATGATCAAAGCCTACACTAAAATTGCAAGCACCATGAAGGAAAGATGTGCAACACAGTGATCTGCAAACATCAGGGACTTAATCAATGTTTACTGAACGAATGAACCAATAAACTAGAAAAGGTTACCACATTCTAGAACATTAAAATGAGGAAGTATTCCTCAAAGCTTGATAAGTAGTCCCTGATTTAAAAAAAAGTCTAAAAAAAAAAGCAGTCCCTGAGAAAAAGTGGTACTTGATAATAAACTTATGGAAATAATTTCCCCAAGAGGCACTGAAGGCATTTCAAGGTTTGGACAAATTCATGGATGATAATACCATGATAAATTATGAATGGAAGCTAGGATGGAATGGGGTATGGATTGCCATTCTCAGTGACAAAATTCTGAGCTATTTGCCCACAAAGCGTTCTCCAGTGTAGCAATTCTTGGGATTAGTATTAAAATACAGTGGTGCGATAGATAGAGTACCAGCTGCGAGTCAGGAAG